CCAAGTATTTAGATCTGACTTTATTTGTGTGAAAAGTGTTTTGTAATTGTGTTCATATAGTTCCTGGGTTTGTCTTGCAGATAGACTCTTAAATATTGTCTACAGTTTCCTTAAATGGAATTTCTCTTTCTATCTCTTCCTGCTGGGCTTTGTTAATAATGTATAGAAATTCTGGTGATTTATGTGGGCTTATTTTATATACTGTGACTTTGCTAAAGTTGTTAATTATTTCAAATAGTTTTAAGATGATTCTCTAGGATTCTCTAAATATACCATCGTATCATCTGCAAAGAGTGATAGTTTTGTTTGCTTCTTGCCTATTCTAATTCCTTCGATATCTTTTTCTTCTCTTATAGCTAAAGCTAACATTTGTAGTACAATATTGAATAACAGTGGTGATAATGGACATCCTTGTTTTACCTTTGATCTTACTGGAAATGCTTCTAGCTTATCTCCATTACATGCTGAGGTCCTTTCTTGAGCTGAACTGCCAAGCATTCAAACTCTAATGCAGAGAGTGCAACTCCAATGGGCTGACTGCGTTGTTCAAATTCCAAACATACATTTGCCTAAAACACTATTTTACAGAAAACTCACACAAGGTAAGAGCTCACAAAGAGGTCAGAAGAAGCAATACAAGGACACTCTTAAGGTTTCTCTGAAGAACTTTGGAATCACTTGTGAGACACAAGGGACACCGGCACAGGCCCACCCAGCACAGTGTGCCCACATCAAAGAGGGTGCTGTGCTCTATGAGCAAAGCAGAATTGCAGTAACTCAAAATAAACATGAAATATGCACATCTAAAAACATCTCCATCCCAAATGTTCATATGGACTTTGTGTGCCTGACCTATGGTAGAACCTTCCAAGCTTGAATTGGTTTAATCAGCCACAGTCAGATACATCATACCTTGACCCCAACATAGTGATGTCATTTTGGTTGTTTTCAAGTATGAAGGACAACAACCAAGTTTTTCTCATTTTATTGATAAAGAAACTGAAACCCACAGAAATTAAATGGCAAGTTAATGCAAAAACAGGGACTAGAAGAATTAAGAATCTTCTCACAAGTAGTCAAATGCCCTTTCTGATACTATTCTGATAATATTTAATTGTTTTGACAATGGCATAAGCTTATGTAGCATTTTATAAGCTCTGGAGGGTCTTTATTCCAGCACTTATTTGCACTGGCAAGTTGGTTCCATAGTGAATGGCCTCTATCTCCCACTGAAGCTATCTTTTCTAGGAATACCATTGAGAATTTATGTTTCTTCTAATGCCCCTATTCTGTTGTGTTCTTTCAATATCAAGCATTACTTACAGTGTCACTTATATCATTGATTTACCAAGTGATTAGTGTTCCAGTTTCCTTTAACCAATTAACTTCAATTAATTTATATAAAAGGATAGTTCCTGAAAAGATATAGCAAGAGCTAGAATACCCCCCCCCAAAAAAATCTCCTTTCTTCTGAACCTGGAGCACCCTTTCCCTCTACCACCTGAGTTCCTGTGAGAGGCAATGTCTAGATGGTTTGGTTAAATCATAGAGTATGTGAGAAAAAAAATAAAATGTAATAAGTCTAGAAGGTACATCATAGCTGGATTTGCAAGGGCATTAAATATCAAACAGAAGAGTGTTTTGTTGTAGAGCTAATGAAGAGACACTAGAGCTTTCTGAGCCAGGGAAGTGTTGGAGTCAGACTTATACTCATAATATCATTTTTGCATCTGTACAGAATATTGATTGAAGAGATATGACTTGAGACAGGGAGGCCAATTTCAAGGCTCTTGCAATGCACCTGATGAAAGATATGAGGACCTAAACTAGGGCAGTATGGCCTTGAGTAGACAAAAGGGAATAGATGTAAGAGACGCTGAGGTAGAACTAGCTTGTCTTTCCTAAATAGTTCCACTGCATTAATTCAGTTCACAATACTGGTTTAGAACATCTAATAAAGCTCTTTATTTCCTGTGTGGGGAAAATTCCCTTCATAAGTATGTTACAACTGAAATAGTTCTTTCACTGCACCAAAGCTCTCTCATCTTGATAATCCCTCTCCTCAAGGAGTAGGAAAATTGAATTTTTTTCTTTTTTTAAAAATAACTTTACTGTAAATAAAATAGAATGTGGAAGTTTATGTTTAAAATTAAAGTTAGATTTAAAACTTTGATATCTCTTGAAAGCCACTCTTCATAAATATTTCCTTTTATTACTATTTCTCCATTCAAGTAAATTGTACTGACTAAATCAAGGTTTCTTAAACTTTTTCCACTTGCAACACCTTTTCACCTGAGAAATTTTTATGTGACCCTGGGTATATAGATATATGAAAGACAGAAGCAAATTTGCATACTAATGAGATACATGTGCCTGTTTTTTTTTACACAAATAATTAAATCTTGGTGGAATAGTTGATGCTGCAGGAAACAGAGCATCTTCAACTTTTTTCAGAGTTGAATGATATTTTGATTTTATAATTGTCAATGCTGAGAATGTTATTTTGCATAAGTACATAGCACAAAATGGTAGAAGTATGTTTAAAGCAATTTCAGAAATTGTTGGAAATTCTGTCCTAATCCCAAGACAAAATTAATTTAACAATTTTTTAGGAAACTCAAGTTTTAAACCAGTTGCTTGATAACTTGGCAAATTCTTCCTAAACTTTTAATAGCAGATGACTGGCATTTTTTTAATTTCAACTGAGTATGGTTTATGACCCCAACTCAGTTTTTTTGAATCAAAATTTGAAGGGAAGTATTTTGGAAACTATGTCTCCAGGCATGTTCAGATGATCAATTATAACTCTTACAATTAAACCTTTCAGAAGATTATTTACAATTATAAAATTATCTGGAGTTGTAACCATCCTATTTTTCCACATTAACTTTTTTAGTAAAACTTTCCATTTTATCTTTTAACATAAATATAGTTTTTTCCTTGAAGTAACATGTTTAAATCATTAAGTTTTTGAAACTATCCAATAAATAACAGTTTTGAAAGCCATGTCATCAAAAAAAAATAAAAAATTTGATTTCTGCTCAGTCTTTTAATTTCAGTAATATGTTTAAATTTCATCCTCTTGAGAGCCAACTTATCTCTGCATGTAGTGATAAGCTTTTGTAATCAGAGTCCATGTCTTTCCAAAGATTTAAGGGCACAGCTATTAATAAAGTTAGTGATTTTGATAGTATCACAAAACATAACATCTAACTGTGGTGATATTTTTTTGGCTATGCATGCCTCCCAATGGATCATGCAGTAAGTAAAAATGATTTGTTTATTGCCACCAGCTTTAACTTTTGCTATAAATACAACATTCTTGCCTATCATTGCTCCTGCACCTTCTGTACAGATTCCAACGTAATTTTTCCACTATAAACTTTCATTTATGAATAATTCATCAACCTTAAGATATATATCTCCCCCTCTCATGTGCCCTTCCAAAAGGGGCCAAAACAATATTTCCTCATAGACACTTTCTTCATAAATATATCTTACATAAAGTGACAACATGTTAGAAATCTCAGTTATTTCATATAACCGAATTGCAAAGTTTGGGTTGCCCTTAAGCCTGGTAATAAGCTGCTGGAACTGGTTGTTACTAATTTCTGAAATTCTTTTGGAAACAGTACCATTTGATAAAGGAATTTTACAAATTTCATCCCCATATTTTTCCCATGGACTATTTCTAACATTTTAATAGCAGCAGGTAACACAAGATTCTCTCCTGTCACATAGGGCTTTTTTAGTTTTTGCAATCAAATAAAAAGTTTCATAAGATGCAAGTAAATTTCATTGGCAGTAACAAATTTCTCAAAACATTGCTTTACTTTATTTCAAAAATTTTGGAAGTCATTCAAAATATTCCTTTGGTTTATAGCATTATGCTGCATGTTTTGTATTAACATGTAATTTTAGTTTGGCTGGTTTCATGCTCTCCACAGGCAAAACTTCATTATAAATTAAGCAAAGAGGTTTTCCACAGCATCATCATTATTAGAAGTAAATCCATATTGCAAAAATTATTTGATATATCTTCTTTTTCTTGTCAATTTTGATGTATGACAACCTGGTAGCAAAGACTCTGTCACATTTTCATCAGTGCTTTTATCTCTTCTGTCTGAATTTAGCCACTCATCCTTAACTGAAAAATATTTTTGTCTTAAAATATAGATATTGTTAATAATTTCTCAAATAAGTACTAGCTTCAGTTTATGAAATTACATTTGTTTTGTTTAATTTAAAAAAAACTGATGTTCACACTTACAGATACAGTGGTGATGATGGAAAAATATTATTACAGGGTTTTTGTCTTTACTTGCTACAATTAAATACTTATGTTTATGTAAAAGAAGGAGATAATAGCAATTTTTAAAATTAAACATTCTAACACAATACAATCCAAAAATATACTGATTCAATACTTACATGCTGAGGGATGATGATAGGAAAATATTGAAAGTCTTTATTTTCTGTAATCAAACTATTATGTTTCTGTAAGAGCAGAAAACTATGTATGTACAGTAAAAGCATTGCAGTTTATAACATACAAATCTTAGCCACGGTGTTTCTGGCAGCGTTAATTGGTATTGCATGGTGTGATGGCATGTGTAGTGCAAAGTGCACATGTTGTGTGTTCAGAACCAAGGCTGCAGTAACGTCACACAATGCAACATAGGCAAGCACTGCCAGAAACACCTCGGATTCATTACACATTTGATTTTGAATTAATTTTTGGTTGTTGTGCATTCGGAAACCTTTTAATGTTGCCAAATTTTTCACAACGCCCACATTCAGTTCTGCAACACCATATGGGGTTGTGATCCACAGCTTAAGCAGTGCTGGTCTAAACTTACATCGTATACAAACATATAATGCTTTTATGAATATATATACATGTTTATACATTTACTCATTGCAGTGGTTATCCTGTAAGTTACTCCTTAAATTTGCCTTTTTTTCTCATTTAGTCTGAAAGCTTTTTTCCCTCTTTACAGAGGACGCTATCTACTGGAGATGAAGCGGTATGACCTGGCAACATACACTATTTTCCAACTAGAAAAAATGAACAAAGGTAAATGTTACTTATAACTATAACTGTATAACTACAGTACAGTTTTAAAAGAAACAATGCAAGAAAAATATTTTTGTGCACCTTTTCTGATGCTACATGTGAGGAAAAAAATTCAAGAATTAAAGAACATAAAAAATTTTAGACTTGAAGATGAAAAATGATGTTAAAAGGAAGAGTTGGTAACTGAAGGGGAAAAAAAGTCAAAAGACATATGTCTTAATCCTGGTTCTAGTATTTACTCTCTGAGTGACCTTATACACTTAATTTGTCTGAATCACAGCTTTTTTCATCTGCAAAATAAAATAAATAATGCCTGGTTTTGCATAGAAGTGCTGTGATGATCAGATAAAATAATGCAATGTGAGAGTGCTTTAAAATGATATGCAAGTTCAAAGATATTATTGTTATAGCACTTACACTTCTTGAGGGTAGGCCTTGTTATAGTTTTTGCTTGTATTTGTTTCCCTGGCACTTAGCTCTGTCTCTGGCATATAGTAAGTACTTAATAAATATTTGTTGACTGACTGTTATCATTTCATTCTTCTTACCTTTTCAAGCAGAGTTCAGATAGAAGCAATCTCAAGCCATTTTGCTATCTTGGTGTTATTCTTTTATACTTATTTTCTGATAACTGTTGTGCAGGTGAATGAAATAACTGCGTTGTGTAATTGAATGAGAAGATTGGGATTTATCTATACCATCTAGAGACTTCGTTAGAACAAACATGGTAGCAAATAGATTGACAGGGATGAGATGGACAAAAGCCCATTACCACATGCTTTTAGTTTCTTCTACTAGGTCTCTATATTTTGAAAGCCATTCTTTTATTCCATGTAGTTTGGAGATTATGAGTATTTGGTATGATGACATCTGTTAAGGATTTTGTCCTTAATTTTTTCTGAATCGCTGTCATGTCTGACTGGTTGTGGGCAATAATTTTACTTTTAATGATGATCCAGCTCCAGTTTGGTTTATTTTTTGAGTTCTCAAAGGGAGGGGAGAGGGTTGACAGGGAGGAAGAGATAGAATTTGGAACTCAAAACCATAAAAAGAAATGTTAAAAATTGTTTCAATATGTAATTGGGGGGGAATAAAATATATTAAATAATTACTCTAAAAACCAAAAAAGATATTTGGGGGTATATTTTTGTAGCATGGGAATTAGTTGCTTTTAGTTTATAGAGAATAGTGAGTTTTTAGAGTACAATTCTAGCTGCAGGACTGTCTTTCTAGGTAGCTGACATATGCTAAAAATTTATAACATACAATGTTGCTTAATTTCCATACTATTTCAATGTGTAATATTCTTCAGCCAATAAGTCTGCACTCCCTGAGGTTAACCTTTCTATAATTTCTAATGGTAATGACCTGATCTTAGATAATTATATTAATCCCTCTGTTTCTAGAAATAAATCCATATGATTCAGCCATTTGTTGCATGAGTTTATATGGCTGTCACCCACATTTGGACCTTATAAACCACTTTTATTGACATTTGACAAATTCAAAGGCATATAACTATTGTCAACCATTACTATTGCTCTTCTAAATTTTTGTCTAGTATTTTATTTTCCCCCAGCTACATGTAAAAATAATTTTAACATGTTTTTTAAAACTTTGAGTTCCAAATTCTCTCCCTTCCTCTCTCCTCACCCTCCACCCTCATAGGGAAGGCAAGCAATTCAATATAGGTTATGTATGTGTAGTTATGCAAAACATATCCATATTAGTCATGTTGTGAAAGAAAACATAGACCAAAAACAAACCTCAAGAAGAATAAAGAAAGTTTAAAAAAAAAAGTATGCTTCAATCTGTATTCAAACACCATCAGCTCTTTCTTTGGTGAGAGCTAGGGTTTTTTCATCACAAATCCTTCAGAGTTGTCTTGGGTCATTGTATTGCTGAGAATAGCTAAGTCATTCACAGCTTACAATATTGTCATTACTTTGTACATAGTACATTTCTTTTGCATCAGCTCATGCAAATCTTTCCAGATTTTTCTGAGAGTATCCTGCTCATCATTTCTTGTAGCGTAATAATATTCCATCATAATCACATACCACAACTTGTTCAGTCATTCCCCAATTGATAAGCATCCCTTCAATTTCCAATTCTTGGCCACCAAAAAAGAGCTGCTATAAATATTTGTTGTGTGTCTATGTCCTTTCCTTTTTGTTTTTTTTTTGTCTCTTTTGAGATACAGATGCAGTAGTGGTATTGCTAGGTCAAAGTGTATTCATGGTTTTATATCCTTTTGGGCGTAGTTCCAAATTGCTCTACAGAATGGGTGAATCAGTTCATAATCCCACCAACAGTGCCTTAGTGTCCCAATTTTCCTGCATCCTCTTCAACATTCGTCATTTTCCTTTTCTATCTTATCATCCAATCTAATATGTATGAGGTAATACCTCAGGATTGTTTTAATTCCCATTTCTCCAATCAATTGTGAGAGCATTTTTTCATATGGCTTTAGATAGCTTTGAATACTTCATCTGAACACTGTTTATATCTTTTGATCATTTATCAACTGGGGAATGGCTCTTTTATAAATTTGATTCAGTTCTCTATATGTTTGAGAAATGAGGCCTTTATAAGAGAAAATTGCTTCAAATTTTCTTCACTGCTATTATTACTAACTGTATTTCCCTCCATTGTATTTCCCCCACCCCATTTATTCTATTCTCTCTTTCCTTTCACCATGTCCCTCCTCAAAAGTGTTATGCTTCTTACTGCCCCCTCTCCCAATCTGCTCTCCTTCTATCACCCCCCTTCTCTTATCCTCTTGCCTTCCTACTTTCCTGTAAGATAAAATACATTTCTATACTCAACTGAGTGTGTATGTTATTCCCTCTTTGAGCCAATTCTGATGAGAGTAAGGTTCACTCAGTCCCCCTCATCTTCTCCCTCTTCACTTCCACTATAAAAGATTTTTCTTGCCTCTTTTAGGTGAGATAATTTACCCCATTCTACCTCTCCCTTTACCTTTCTCCCAATATATTCCTCTCTCACCCCTTAATTTTATTTTTTAAGATCTCATCCCTTCATATTCAACTCACACCTGTGCCCTCTGTCTACATATACTCCTTTTAATTGCCCTAGCAATAAGAAAGTTCTTATGAGTTACAAGTATCATCTTCCCATGTAGGAATGTAAACAGTTTAATCTTGTTAAGTTACTTATGACTTTCCCTTCCTGTTTACCTTTTTGTGCTTTTCTTGAGTCTTGTATTTGAAAGTCAGATTTTCTATTCAGCTCTTCTCTTTTCATCAAGAATGCTTGAAAGTCTTCAATTTCAATGAATTTCTATTTTATACTCAGTTTTGAGGGGTGGAGCCAAGATGGAGGAGTGAAAGCAGTGACTTGCTTAAGCTCTCCCCCCAACCCCTCCAAATACTCATAAAAAATGGCTCTAAACAAATTCTGAAGCAGCAGAACCCACAAAAAGACAGAGTGAAACAAATTTCCAGCCCAAGACAACCTGGATGATTGATCAGAAAGGTGTATTTCTCTGGGCTGGGAGCCCAGCACAGCGTGGCCTGGGCGCAGGCCGCAGCGAGCCTGGGCAGGACTGAATCACGGGTAGCTGTGGAGGTTTCCAGACTCCTCAACCCACTAATGCCAAAGACAACTTAAAAGGTCAGTGGGAAAAGTCTGTTTCTGCTGGTGCTGAGAAAGGAAGGCGGGGTCTCAACTTCATTCCCCAAGAGCGTGGTCGGGGTGGGGGGCAGCTGCTTCCCAAGCTTCCAGCCCACAGACTGAGGGGGAATCCAGTGGCTGATCCAAGAGGGATTGCAGGGATCTCTTTGCCAGTGCTGAAGCAGGAATCTCTTCCTTTGCCGTGTGTGGATCTGGGTCACAGTTCTGGGTGGGCGGTGCGGGTGAGGAACACTGGCATGGTGGAGCTTCTAGTGGCTGTGGAGAGGAACCCCTCCTCACAGTTACAGGACAGAAAGGAATACTTGTGGTCACAGGCCAGAAAGGAGTAAACACCTCGCCCCTTATCATACCACCTTGGAAGAACTGAAAATTTACAGGTCCCTACAAGTATCTCTGAAAACAGCTACAAACCCCTGAAGCTTGGGACAGTACATTCTCCACATTGGAAGCAGACTCTTACCTTAACAAAGAGTTTAAAACTCAAGTAATTGGCCGGATCATGAGCAAGCAGGCAAAAAGAGTCAGACTATATTATCTTACTTTGGTGACAAAGAAGATCAAAATATACAACCAGAAGAAGACAACAAAGTCAAAGCTCCTACATCCAAAGCCTCCAAGAAAAATATGAATCAGTCCCGGCCTTGGAAGAGCTCAAAAGGAATTTTGAGAAGCAAGTAAGGGAAGCAGAGGAAAAACTGGGAAGAGAAATGAGAGTGATGCAAGAAAATCATGAAAAACAAGTCAACAGCTTGCTAAAGGAGACCCAAAAAAATACTGAAGAAAATAACACCTTAAAAAACAGCCTAACCCAAATGGCAAAAGAGGTCCAAAAAGCCAATGAGGAGAAAAATGCCCTAAAAAGAAAAATTGGCCAAATGGAAAAGGAAGTCCAAAAGACTACTGAAGAAAATACTTCCTTAAAAATTAGAATAGAGCAATTGGAAGATAGTGACTTTATGAGAAATCAAGACACTGTAAAACAAATCCAAAAGAATGAAAAATTAGAAAACAATGTGAAATATCTCATTGGAAAAACCTGACCTGGAAAACAGATCCAGGAGAGATAATTTAAAAATTATTGGACTATCTGAAAGCCATGATCAAAAAAAGAGCCTAGACATCATCTTTCAAGAAATTATCAAGGAAAACTGCCCTGATATAGTAGAACCAGAGGGCAAAATAGAAATGAAAGAATCCACAGATCTCCTCCTGAAAGAGATCCCCAGAGGAAAACTCCTAGGAATATTGTAGCCAAATTCCAGAGTTCCCAGGTCAAGGAGAAAATATTACAAGCTGCCAGAAGGAAACAATTCAAGTACTGTGGAAACACAATCAGGATAACA